GAAACAAAATCATCATATATTTATTCTGCATCGTTGTTTATCTGAACTGATGATAATGATGATGATGATTAGACATAACAGACTATATCTTGGATAACGAGGAAAAGAGGAAGAAGAAACAGCAGCAACAACAACAACAACAATAACAACGGGGTGAGATGACAGGATAGATTAAGAGGCAATTGTGAAGCTGATGATGACCGAGACGGTGATTATAATGAGTGCAATATGTCGAAGAAGAAGAAGAAGAGGAAGAACACAAAGACGTATGTGTTGTACTACTACTCTATGGGAGGAAGGTAGTTTACTTTTGACTAAACTTTCTCTACTTGCTTTTTTGCCGTTCATTTCACTTTTACAGACACTTAAATGTGTCCGTTTGATTATGGTCTATCTATCACCTACAAACACCTAAATACTATACTGTATATAACAAAGTCATATAAAGCGTGTGTCTAGCATCAATATACAGGACAAAATGGAAAGACATGTAATAATATTCTGTACAGAATAAATGTACATAAAAATAATGAGTCAAACTATACATATTGATTAAGTTAAAGGTTTTGGTCCCTACAATAGGGTAATATACATTACATATATATATATATATATATATATATATATATATATATATATATATAAGCTACGTAGGATGAATACTGGCGACAAGACGTTGAAATAAATAATTCAATGATAAAAATTATCTTAGAGCTTAGGGTAATAGAGGTAGGTAGGTAGGTAGGTGACAAACTCTCTCTTTCTCTCCCCCACCCACTCTCTGAGAGAGAGAGAAATGATTCATAGTGTGAAAGTACGGGAGACGACGCATAAATAAGAGTGCCAAGAGTAGTGGAGAAATAAATCGAACTGTATGTCTTGCGTATTCCCCCCCCCCCCATATTGTTACAAATGATGATATCGATTTACCTGAACAGGATTTTTCTAAGGCGAAGAACGATGACTCGAGGAATAAACAAGCACCTACCTACCAATATTCGAGAAGGCATAAACCATACCGTTAACCATACTTCACCTCGTAATTGTGTTTAAACAAAAGAATGTGCACTCTAACCAAGCAGGTTTTAGGCCGGGTAGAGGGTTATTGATCATATCTTAACCCTTCGACAGATTCTAGAACATAGGCATTCCTGCCGGCGTCCGACAATCACTATATTTCTTGACCTAAAGGCGTCATTCGATTCTGTCGACCGAGGGGTTCTCTGGCGATGCTTGGCTGTAAAGGGAATGCCGAGAAAATACATTGCACTGATTAAGGCACTCTACTCGTACTCATGCAGCCAGGTGAGGGCTTATGGCGAGTTGTTATCTGAAGTGCTGACGACTAGTGGTGTCCGTCAAGGATGCCCATTATCCCCATTCCTATTCAACTTCATCATAGACGTACTAATGGACTTAACCCTAACTCACTTCAGAGACTCAGGGATTGACTTGCTACCAGGGAAAAATCTCGTTGACTTAGAATATGCGGACGATATAGTCCTTCTAGGCGAGGACGCTGACAAAATGCAGAGTCTACTAAACACCTTGAGCAACAATCTTCGTATGTTCGGCATGCGATTCGCCCCTGTAAAATGTAAGATGATGCTGCAGGATTAAACTTCACCGACCCCTAGATTAGAAATAGGAAGTGAAGTGGTAGAGCTCGTTGACCGCTTCACTTACTTGGGAAGTACCATCAGCCAACGCCAACGGGTTGATCTCAGACGAAATCTCAGCACGAATACAGAGGGCTAGGTTCGCATACGCCAGTTTACGCCGTCTCTGGCGTAGACGCGATATCCGACTACTATCCGACTACTTATTGGATGACGGCTAACGACAGTACACCCAAGTTACCCAGATTGAATTACGTGAAACAGGACTCGAACCTGCTACCTGATGAGTGTAAGTTCACAGCCTAAATGCCAATGAGGAGAAAAGCAAAAACACCGTATAGATCAAGCACTTCAGGCATTCTTCTACAAAGTTCTGCATATAATCCTCAAATATGCAGAAACGGTTAATCTAACATACGGCGATCCGAGAGAACGGTCATCGTAATGACGACCCTGATCAACAAATTACGCGAGTCTATAGCAAATACGCGGAAGTATGGTTGCAGTACATGAATTACGTTGTGAATTCCATTCAGAGTGAGTATTTCAGTACTGTCAGGATGATGAGGCTTGTAGGAAGCAACAAAACTTGGAGATGTAGAGGGATATGCAGCCCCTCCCTGTGTGATGGATATGTATGTGTATAGATGTCCAGACTGTCGTTGTTGTAGAAAATCTGTCCGAGAAGATATGTTGTTCGTTTATCGAGGTTATGGGTGCTGTAGAGGAGTGAAAATGTGTCAGGAAATAACATGATATACCGTTATCTGGATGAATTTGCGTACATAAATTTGTTTCGACTAATCACTGAGGTCTACAATAAGGCAATTTTTACATTACACCTTTTCGTTACCATAGGGCTTGTCTGATTGGTTGATGAACATTGATCAAATTCATTATGACGGCTGTTCGGTTGAGTCGCTATATAGTTTACATTAATTGTTTCTGGATATGTAAGGATTTTATACAGAATTCTGGACCTAGAGTTTCTATAGTCTCAAGTTGGATTCTTGACAGTACGAGGTTCGAAAAATTGCGCATACATTTATTTTCTGAATTTCTTGAGTATCAACGTTTACTGGTTTTGGCTGCCTTCTGGTACCTAACCAGACCCAAGATTTTTAAGTATTGGTTTTGTAGGGATTTTGTTTGATTGTCTTCACTAGACATATTCTTCCGAAGACTGGTATAGTTCCTGTTCTAGACTGCATGAAATTCTAAGTAGATATTTGGTTATAGTTCAGCAATATGTGATAGAATAGTATGAATGTGGTCCTATGTATGAGTGTTCTGGTATTCAGTTGGATGTGCATGTACAATAATATAAATAGAAATAGAAATACATCTTTCAAGTTATTGTCGTCAACGGAGATCATTATACTCTTTCCCCATTTTATTGTTAAAAAAAAACTAGCAAATTTATTTTATTTTTTTAATTCCTTCACTTTCCCAGTGGAACACAGGGCTTCAAACTAGAGCTCTAAAGTTTCGGCAGCCGTGAATTTATTTTCAAGGGGTGGGGGATTGCTAGTTCCACGTTCAACCTTCCCTCTTTTGTGCAGGGTTACACCATCGGCTAAGCCAGGTTTAGGAATGCGTCAAGTGGGGATCGAACCCCGGACCACATGAGTCGTGGTTGGTGAGCATTCTACTGCTCCACTGCACTGCACTGCACTGCACTACCGACGCTAATAAACTGGCAAAAAGAAGGGTCACAATATGACAGCAACAACATATGCTGCTTTCTAATGCGAACAGAATGTATGCGTATCATCAACTCCAGTCGAATATTCTACTTTATTTATAGTTAACAGTGATTTCAGTCAGCAATCGATGGATGAAGTTGTGAAACTACATCGACTGAGATGGCTAGGACCATGTGTCACGTATACCGAGTCGTCGTTGTCCTCCTCTACTCATCGAACAATCTAAGCTGACAAATCATAAAGTTGGAAAAAGCTTAAGGGGGGGTCAATGTTTTTCCATGTTACTACTCTTTCTTCCTCACTTTATCTCTCCTCTATCTACATTTATATACTATGTGGAGTGTAGCGAACTGAACTGCTGCACTTTTGTGCAGAGTTCTATATTGAAACTCAGTCAGATATCTGTCAAAGAGGTAAAAATGCATTCAGATCGATCGACGAATGAGTATATCCGGATAGGAACTGTTAGCGGCTTCTAAATAGAGACGGGAGAACGGAAGAGATGGTAATATCGATCGATCTAAGTTGGTGATCTGCAAATCAATCTCGCGAATGAGTGATAAGTCATCAAAATGTGAGGATCTTTGGCTAGTGTGTAAGCACGTTAACTAAAGTAACTTAAACTAAATACGTACGACCGTACAAAAGATCGTCCTGTCTACCTTGAATGAGGAGACTTAGTTTGACATTGGAGAAGCGACTCATCCATCGACTTATGTGATAGACTTTCAGCTACTGGGATCCCAGATTCCAATGCCTTTCCATTTGAGTCAGCCTGGGTGACTGAGTAGTACTGGAAGCCGTCTCACACAATAAGTATAGCTCATAGCATAATGCATGAAAACCTGTTCCGCGTAACTGAGTTCTAGCTAACTAACTAACTTCCGTTTAATATTATCATATTAAACAGAAGGTTGTAGGCCAGTGATTCACAAGGATTTCATCATGAGCTGACATTGGTTAGAGAACTATTGGAAAACCTGGGAGTACTGGACAACTGATTCGTCCTAGTTTGGGACTCCTCATCAGTAAGCACCCACCGCCATGGTTCGAACCCAGGACCTTCTGGTTTCAAGGCGAGCTCGTTGCCATCCCTGCAAACCAATACTTGAATATCAATGAGATGCTCACTAGCGACTGGCCCTATTCAGGTAGGTAGTTACCTGGGGTTCCAGTGGGAAGTCGTGACCAGTAGGGTGCAGCAGGTCGGGTGTGAGTACAAATAGTCGCCGAAGACATTGGCTAGCGGTTGCACTATGTCGTGAATTGGCAGAAGTTGGAAATCATGGGCCATTGGATCGGTCTACGAGCTCGCTTGTCTTGTAACCAGAAGGTCCTGGGTTCGAACCCTGGCGGTGGGTGCGTACTGCTGAAGAGTTCCACACTAGGCTGACGAAACAACTGTCCAGTACTCCAAGGTTTTCCAATGGTTCTGTAACCAATATCCGCTCATGATGAAATCCTGTAACCGATTCACAAGGTAACTGGAAAAAATAGTCGACATCTGGTTGGGGTTAGCAGCTGAGTTTTGTAGCTCATTTGGTAGAGGTAGGTAGCTCCAAGTTAGCAATCTGGAAGCAGTTGATTCAAAGCCAGACCATCAGTCAAATTACCACATTTCACACTTAATCACCACCACCACCACTCAATTCAATTCAATAATAAACTTTCTTACCCATAAATGATCTCGAGGAGAAGATTTCTTAATAAATGCACCATAGTAGCTGGCAATATTTCGATGATTTGAGAGCTAAAGAAGAAAACAAAATAAAGACAGTTTAAAAATTAACTAAAATAGAATCATAGAAATTGTGTAACTGTTTGAAAATATTGAGTAGCATGTATTTATACAAGCAACAACAACAAAATTAATTTACACAGAAAACAAGACAGTATACTGAGTAAAGAAAGAAGACAGCTTTCTTACAATCCTCAGTCATCTAGTGAAGCTATGAAAGCCTATTATTCCAGAACACCCCTTCCCCCCAATAGTTCATACGTGACCGAATCTAGAAATGCCGAGAGTCTCAAGGGTAGTTCTTTCCTCACAGACAACAAAGCTTCTGGATTATTGCACATCTGAGGAAAAAACACCTTACTCCCGTTAGTTACACCACTACTCGCCAGAGTCACGACTTCGCCTGAAATAAAGTGTGCAAGAATTACACTGCCATGGTAATGGCGTGATAGGACCTGTAGAAGCATAAATTCCAGCCAGCTTAGCTCACTGGGTTCTTGCAATATACAAGCGGGACCACCACGTCAACACAACAGCTACTGAACAGGGTTGAACACTGTTAGCTGACATATGATATTTATGTTACAATTCTTTCGTTATGCTAACATCCACATCTTAACGGTCGTCAATACTTTCAGAAGGAACTTATCCAAAGTGTCTTATCTGTATATCTTACAGTTTATGACAACTCTGAGTGGATATGATGGAGAAGATTTGTAGCTCAGGTAGATGATTTTGATGTGATTGTGTTCTCTGAGCTGGATAGTTAATTTGCGAAGCTTTCATCACCCTACTAGCTGACATCTTCAGTGCATACATCAATTTGAAGTCAGCTTTCAGATTTCTCCACGAGTTTATTAATCATCATCACGTCCAAGGTCACCGGGAGAGATGATTAATAAACACGTGGAGAAATCTGAAAGCTGACTTCAAATTGAAGTATGCACTGAAGATGTCAGCTAGTAGGGTGATGAAAGCTTCGTAAATTAACTATCCAGCTCAGAGAACACAATCACATCAAAATCTCTGAGTGGATACAAAAGGCTCGAGTGGCATTTGTCAACTTACATTAGGTCTGGTATAGACGTGATATCCAGCTATCAATAACAGGACGTGTACACTAAACAGTAGTTCGCACTGTCCTACTCTATAGCTGAAGTAAGGACATTATGAAATTGAAAGTCTTGAAGAGACTAGTTGTCTTTGACTACAGACGATGTTTGCGTTCCATCTCCCAGGTTAAGTGGGATACCATGATGGCTTATACCTAGCTTAGTCGAAGGGGACTGGATAAGGAGAGCAAATTAATCGATGAGATTGTGAAGCTACACCGATTAGAATGGCTAAAAAACACATCACACAAGGCCGAGCCACCACCTTCCTCATTGATCAATATAAGCTGATATAGAATTAATCTGGGAAACGCTAAGGGGTAGTCGAACCAATGAAGTCTCTAACTGTTGTGGTTTGAGACATTTAGGGAAGTGTAGAGACTGTCTGGTTGAGATCCTCTGAATACCAAGAGTCAATGACTGGAGATTATTGGTGTTATGACTATAAAAATCGTTCTGAATGATAACGCAGGTGTATCCACGCCTAATGAACTGTGAAATTTATTCAATCCTTATAAATTTTCCTCTTGCCCATTTCTGTTTATCATAGCTTCTCTACATTTCTTTTTCTCACTACCTACCTACATATGTGTGTGCGCGCTTTTATGACGTGCAGTCTACGAATCATCGAAATGTATATAACAATGTTCACCGGTTGAACAATGAATACTACTACTACACAGCAAAAACAACTAATGATACCAATGTGAACTGTGAAAGTATAAAAATGTGCATGCACATGAAGAAATTAAAAGCGTATCAGAGAATCACTCCATTCCTGTTTTTTGTTTTCTTTTAATGCACTTCATCATTTTCTCTTCACAAAATAAAAACACTTTTCAGAAATTTCATACATTTATTCCCCTTAATGAATTTGAACAAAGCAAGAACTACAGTTTTAGCAGAATAAAATGGTACCATCATTGTTTATTTCGTTCGCTTCTCGTCAGCTGCTTACAGGGCAAAGACATTATTAAATATATCTACAAAAACAATTTTAACATACTTGCATAGAGTTCATTTTTAAACAAAAATCAATCGATCAATATACACATACACTAAGAATATATACATATATATATGCAATATTAAACACTATTCCGAACAATAATAAGTTTACATGTATCTGCGGGAGCAGTTACATTGGAAGAACAGAAAGAAGGCCATATCTACGATTTTCTGAACATGTACCCAAAAGCTTACGTCTAAAGAGAACAAATGCTTTAAACAGTGCCATCGCCAGGCATCTCCTCGACACGGATCATGAGGTGGACGTCGAAAAGTCGTTCAAAATGATCAGTAAGCAAAAGAGCTCAATTCTCCTACAGTTTGCTGAAGCCATTTCCATTTCCAGTCTTTCTTTGCCCTGGTAACTGGAAATTTTTCATCCGAATGAGAAATGCTGAAAAGTTTTCATTGTGTATGATTATTATTGTTCAGAATAGTGTTTAATATTGCATATATATATATATATACTATTAGTGTATGCATATATTGATCGATTGATTGATTTTTGTTTAAAATGAACTCTGTGCAAGTATGTTAAAATAGCTTTTGTAGATACATTTAATAATGTCTTTTCCATGTAAGTAGCTGACGAGAAGGCAACGAAATAAACAATGGTGGTACCATTTTATTCTGCTAAAACTGTAGTTCTTGCTTCCTTTCAATATAGAAAAAATCCGCATTTAGACATTTAGAAAACAGAAAGATTGAGCGAAGAAATATTTACTTTTCAATTAGATCCTCATCTCTGGCTCTACTCTAATATACTGTTGTGTATTGTAATAAAAATGCTATGTATATTAGAGTAGAGCGAGAGATGAGTTCTTGTTTTGTTCAAAAACACTTTTACCGTATACATATATATACATACAAAAAATAAACTGACTACACACAAACAATGCATGTTTTAAAATTGATCAATATATAATACTGAAATTGTTTATTCATTATTATTATTATTATTGTATTGCCTTCACTGGATGTGAGAGAGAAAAGAAACCTGGGGGGCGCATGGTGGCAAAGTATTTCATATTTCACGTGAAGACATTTTTTAAGTGTGTTACATTTCGTCATCAACAACAACGAAACAAACAAGATTTGATCATGAGCTCACATCAGTTAGAGAATCATTCAAAACCAGGGACTCTGCAACAGTACACACCCACTGGGGCTCGAACCGAGGACAAAAAAGAAAATTACACATGAAGCATAAGAAAAAATATGAAACCAAGAGACCTCTATAGACGTAAACAATCACTTGCAATTCTATGCGGTGGACAATGAATTAACCATACCTATTGGTACTTATTATTACCTGGCTGCCCGAATTCGGATAGATGGAGTGGAGAGGGGTTCGAACTTGTGACTCGCTGGTTAAAAGTGGAATGCTTAAACCCGTGAGCCACAGTTCGACTATTGATGTACAAACGAGAGATTTATCAAATGCAAAGAAGGAGAATGGTTAGTTCCAAGATAGGCTGCGTCACGAATAGATATCGGTTAGAGAATGAGTAAAGCTGTAACACTTAGAAAATGTATAGTTTATAATTAATAACCCCAAGATGAATAGTATCATTAATAACGCAATGTATGTTTGTGCAGTTGGGCATTATAGTTACTGACGATACCCCAATTACCCAAACACCAATAGATGGGATAATCAAGAGGTGACGTTTATTTTGATGAGAAACTGTCTGTCTGGATTCAACACAGAACTTGGCATCGAAGTCCAGCTGTTCGAGTAGCCACGTTCCAAATAGCACACAAAGGTAGACAAGAAAATGAGTGAAGAGAATCAATAGAGTTTTGACAAGTATAAGAGTGAAACAGAATGAGTAATGGTAGAAAGGAATATGAAAGATCACACAAGAGAGTGAATACATCTGCGTAAGCCATTGACAACGATTTTGAGCCATGTCACCTATTGTCTCCAGCCATTGATTCTTAGAGTTCCGAGGGCGGGCCCAAACCCGGAAGTCTGCATCTCCCTCTCTACCTGACTCAGTTTAACTGTCAAGGATTTCATGGATTGATGAGGCCATGTTTTTGTTTGGCCACCACTTACTCTTTTCCCACCTGCACCTATATCAGCTAGTAATGCCCGTCGGAAGGGGGAGGCGATGGTTAGGCATTCTCCTATTCTATTTTGTTTTAATGATTTAATTACATCTTTGAATTCGTAATCTGTACTCACACCTATATTCACAAACAGATTTCAACTTACAGTTATGGGTTTTTTGAAGGAAATGGAAAGTAAGCGTACATATGGTAGGTTATCAGAGCATGCTTTGGATAGAACAGTATCGCCTAATGTGATACACTGCTATTTTGCAACAGCACATGCTGGAAATTCTCCCATATGTGTTGATACATTTACAGAATAACTATATTTTACGGTTACTTAGTTGGTCAGTTACCTGGTGCCATGTCTATAGGCCACATGTGTGATTATACTATCTAGTTAATTACCTAGATTGAAGTAGGCGGAGCGGGACTCGAACCCGGGACCCATTCGCTGGCAGTCAGTCATGTGCCGGTATACTTTAACTAAATAGCAACACGCTAGTTACCTTACACCATCTGTAGAGACTAAAAAGTCCTAACCAATGAAGACTTTCATCAATAAATGGAGATTTTTTCTGAATAATCAGCACGATGCACAAAGAATTCTGGATAAGCATGTTAGTTATCTAACCGATGGCTAAATGCTTTGAATAAATAGACACAATGTGCATTTAACCACACACACACACACACACACAACGCATACAAACACACCTGAACATTTGTCTATTATTCAGCAATACAACAATGCAAATGTGTGCATGAAATTATATCACAAAGCGAGAGAGAAAGAGAGAGAGAGAAAGAGGAAACAATTTTACACACTCCTACACACAAAATAACCTTGTACTTACTAAAAGTAATGCACACATCTATTGCGAGTGTTATATGTCACAATTGAAAAACAAGCGGTTAAATTGCGCGTGTGTGTGTGTGTGTCTGTATTTGTGTGTATGTTTCATTGATCTATGCATTTAATTTTTAAGTGTTAGGTAATAAGTTTAAATCCTGCTTCAGTCATCGAAGCTCGGTGTAGTCAGGCCGCTATCTCAGCAATCCTCACATCACACAGAATTGTATATTGATCTACTATCGTCTACTAAGAAGCTACGACTATCCTCTGTTTGAATATTCCTAGAAGTACTAAACCACGTTTGTAACCTACCATAATAAGCGGGCATTGTATATTAACGAAAAGAGTTGAATACTTCAGGTCAAAGCAACAATCGATAACCAATACAAGTAGTAGCCAATCACGACGTTCAAGGTCACCAGGAGAGGTGAATAATAAACTCGTGGAGAAGTCTAAAAGCTCACTTCAAAAAATTGAAGTATGCGCTGAAGATGTTGCCTAGTAGGGTAAACCATCCAGCTCAGAGAACACAACTACATCAAAAGAGTTGAAGACATCGGATTCCTTAGTTAAGGTACAACCACAGACGATGAAATGCTAACGTGTGTGTAATAACATTTACATTATATGCTGTCTGTGTGTTTTCGACAGAGAACTTTGCACATATGTGCGGCAGTTCAAGTCGCCACACTCTCTCCCCGTAGCACACAAAGCAAGAGAAGAAAGTAGGAGAAATGCATAATATAGATAGTAAACAGAGGTGAGAGACAAAGGAATAGTAGTAACGAAGAACAATATAGTTTCATTGGAAATCATAAGTCACAAGGAGTGGATGCATCTGCACCAGCCATTGACAACGATTTTGAGCCCTATCAACAATTGTTTCCAAATAGTGGTTTTTGCCGTCCCGAGGACCCTAACCAGAAAGTCTACACCTTCCTACGTGGCTTAGACTAACTGTCGTAGATTTCATTGACTGGTGAAGCCATGTTTTGGTTTGACCGCCGCTAGCTCTTTTCCAACCTGACCCTATATCAGCTAACATTACCCGTCGAGGAAGGCGATGACTAGGCATACGTAGCACATGTTCTAACCATCTCAGTCGATGTAATTTTACAGCCTCGTCGATTGATTTCCCCGCGTTACCTAGCACTCGACCGATGCCTAACCTCAATATTGCTCACCTTATTATACCAGTTCACACGAGAGATAGAACATAAGCCCCCATGATCAAAGAGAGCCAGCCGACCTTTTCATATCTTCCACTTTCAATGGCCAAGTCTCACTCACATCCATGAAGGAGGACGGGGCGGACTGCTGAGCAGTACACACACTCTTCTTTCGATAGCCAGCCGGATATCACGTCTACGCCAGAGGCGGCGTAAACTGGAATATGCGAAACCAGCCCTCTGTATCCATGCTAAGATTTGTTCAGAGATCAACCTGTTGGGGCTGATGGTACTTCCCAAGTAAGTGAAGCGGTCAACGTGCTCTACCACTTCACTTCCTATTTCTAATCTAGGAGTACATTATATGCTAGGTCACATGTGACTATAATATACCGACCAGGCTACACCAAGCCACACTAGCTGCCTGAGGGCTGATGATACATAATACTCAGTCGCCTGGTCTGGAGTGGGTGGGAAGAGATTCCAGCAGTGGACTCAATGACTGGAGGTCGATTTGTTTAAGTTGATCAGCCTCAACACCACTTAATATAATCATTTTAGTGAAAATCAAACAGGAGGTTGTCCTGACAAAATGTAATTTGTACAGACCACGAAAGTAAGTGTAAAAGGTTGATCATACTGTCTCTAGTTGCCAGAATACCTGACTGTGTGTGTATGATTAAAAGTTCAGTTTTTGAATGGTGAGACATACACATTTGAACCTCAGTAACCGCTTCCAGATTTGTATAAGAGACTATTTAGCCACATTTTTGTAGGAGTTAGAATTTCACTAGATGAGCAAGATTCAGAGATATGACTGACTAGTTGAGAAAATATGGAGATGTAGTTCACCGAGTTAGACAATCGACTTGCAGCTGTTGAGCTCTGGATTCGTATCATGCTCCAGCCTGGGCAACTAACTGGATACTACCATCAGCACCTATTAACAACTTCATATCGTCGAGAGTAGGTAGACTTCAATCTTTCACGTGAAATGTCTTCGTCAAATAAGTCTCATTCACTGCCTTCACGAGGTAGCAGTGTTCCTCACAAAAAGTGAAATGATCAATGCCAATGTCTGGCGCTTACAACCAGACTTGCGGAAATGCATGGAAGCTGAAAAACATTGATTCAAAACTTATAGCGTACATGGGCTCCAGAATCCGATGTATGAACAAATTTCGGAAAACGGTGACCATGGGAATGCAGCTCCTGACTCTGATCCATTGCCCTGTGGATCAGTTGGCTGGATTCAACATAGAACTTGGCACCGAAGTGCAGCAGTTCGAATTAGATTTCATCACGAACTGATAACAGCTACAAAAACCATCGAGAAGTGACTAGCACTGGATAATTGTCTCGTCTAAGTCTGGACCCCTTTAGTACCCAGGTTTTGGATGGAATGATGGCTAGCGTCGTAATCTGAAGGTTCTGGATCTACCTCTAGTGGGGTCATGTATGCGTACTGCTGAAGAATTTTACACAATAACGAAATAGTTTTCCAAAACTTCATGATTTTCAGTGGGTATTTTTTAGAACACAAAGAGGCACATGATTCAGCGTTTCTCATATGATCTGTAAAGTAGACTAAGGGTCACGTTATTGGAATTTTATCTTAAACTTGCGATTCATTGACTTTTTTGTGGAGCAGTCAATCTTTGCCTTCTCAAACTTTCTTGTGTCTTCTCAATGTGGATATAGTAAAGACAACTGATCAGTTGTGTATTGTCTAGCTCAAGGACATCAGCAGAAGAAAGCTACAGGAGTTTTGCAAATCTAACTCGAAAATTACATTTGTGTAAATTATTATCATGGTTCCCTTGGGTTCCTAGTGGAACATAGGGCTTCAACTGCACGTCTCCACTTGCTACTGTCTTTTGCTGTGCTTTTCACTTGCATCCATGTTAGTCCATACTGTTTCAACTCTGTTTCTTCACACGATCTCCTCCATATCACCCTTGGACGTCCCACTCGCCGCTTCCCTTTCGAGTTCCACTCGAGCTATGGCCTGACGCGCGATGTCACCCAGCGACCTCCTCAGCTCAGCGAGTGTCCAATCCATCTCCACTTTCTCCTGAATATTTGTTGGGCGATTGGTTCTTGCTTTGTTTGATCCCATAGTTTTTTGTTGGTGATTCTTTCCAGCCATCTGATCTTCAGTATAGAGCGAAGACAGTTGTTGATAAAGGTCTGCAACAGGCTGTTGGAAATATTGTTTGTGACACACTGACCAAGTTTCTGATCCGTATAGAAGAAGTGACTGACTTGACGTTTGTATTGAAAATCCGAATTTTGTTGTTGATGGTGAGTTGAGTGACGAAGATTTCCAGATTGGTTTCAGGTTGATGAATGTGTTTCTCGCCTTCCCGATTCTCCATTTGACATCCTCGTTTGTTCCTCCTGTAGTTGAGACAATGCTCCCTAGATAAGTGAATGAAGTAACCTCCTTCAAATCCCTTCCGTTGATGGTGATTGGCGCCGGATGTCATATGTATATCATATGTAATATCATGAACTTTAAGCAGACGCAAAGAGCACCATTATACGCCTTAGTTATTTCTTTGAAGTGATAAAATCCCTCAAGAACAGTAACAAATCCTAGTTTTTGAAAACAATAAAGTACCGTACAGCGACACTATTATGCACGATTGTCAGGTTCGAAGAATCACTAGTTCACAATGATTGCTCAACTTAGAATAATAATAATAATGCTAATAATTCATTCCTTTGCTTTCCCTGTCGAACATAGGGATTCAAGCTCTAAGCTCCAAGGTTTCATTAGCGGTCGTTGTCTTACGGTATTAGTGTTGTTGGTCTCACACGCCTAATCTTCCCTCTTTGCCGGACTTATAACAAGCTAAGAAGGGAGGTGAAGATGTGTGCCGACCAGGATCTGAACCCCACACCATGTGCATGGAGTGGAGAGGATTTTACCGCTGAACCACTCGACGACTTAGATCTCAACCAATTTTTGCTATAGTACACTTACGACGCTTTAAAACAAAAAAGAAACACTAGCTTTATGTACAATCTTTACAAATAAACTACTGAAAATAAAAACTAACTTTTTTCAAAGTATCAATTTCCAGTTTAATTTCTTCTTCATCCTCTTCAGTAATCGGCATAACTTTGATTGCAGCCAATTGGCCAGTACGCGTATACCTCCCCTTGTAGACATTCCCGTAAGTTCCTTTACCGACAACTTCAATCAGAGAGAAAATCCCCGATGGATCACGTAAATCATCTAAATTGGTTATATCTAATCCACTGTTAGTATTCGTAGTGTTATTTGACATGATTTATCAATCAATGAGTGTGTGTGTGTGTGTGGGCGTCTGTGTATCTGTGTGTAAGTGTGTATATTCCAACACTGTGGACTGATTGACAAGAATTGAAAGGCAATAATTAATGTGTTTTATATCTGCGCGCGCGCACACTAGACCACCACCACCACTTGATGAAAACACACAAAAAAGGCCTATTTCACTAAAATGAAAAGAAGGAAAGAAGAAAAAAACTCACTCAACAAATGTACAAAATGAAAAGTTCTATGTATATTAAAAAAAACGAGCAAAAGAAGAAGAACATGTACCAAAAAGCTTACGTCTAAAGGGAACAAATGCTTTTAAAACAGTGCCATCGCCAGGCATCTCCTCGACCCGGTGTTCATGAGATGGACGTCGAAAAGTCGTTCAAAATTACCAATAGGCAAAACAGCTCAATTCTCCTTAAGTTTGCTGAAACCATTTCCATCAAGCGCCTGAAACCTGATTTATGCGTCCAGAAAGAAGCGGTTATCAGTCTTTCTTTGCCACCCTGGTAACTGGATAATTTTCATCTATCTTTCATGCGAATGCGAAATGCTGAAAAGTTTCCATTGTGTATGATTATTATTGTTCGGAATAGTGTTTAACATTGCATATATATATGTCCCGAACGAAAGCGGCTACCTTGACGTGGTGGTCGGGCTTGAACACCGCAATGAACCAACAAGCTATACTGGCTGAGACTTATGTCGCTTGAGGTCCAACCATGCCAGAAAGGTTGTTTGGATAGCGGTTAGACAAAAAACAAAATCACAAAATATCATGCCGGACCGGTCGGGGCCCGGATTAACAACGACCGCGCTTCCTGCTGCCGTGTCACAGGGCAGAAGTGATAAATATACTACTGAGATACACCAAATAAAAAAGAACAAAAAAACCAGACAGATATATATGTATATATTATTAGTGTATGCATATATTGATCGATTGATTGATTTTTGTTTAAAATGAACTCTGTGCAAGTATGTTAAAATTGTTCTTGTAGATACATTTAATAATGTCTTTGCCCTGTAAGCAGCTGATGAGAAGGCAACGAAATAAACAATGATGGTACCATTTTATTCTGCTAAAACTGTAGTTCTTGCTTTGTTCAAATTCATTAAGGGGAATAAATGTATGAAAGAAGAAGAACAGTTATTTAATTTCCTGTGACTAGTTCTTTTTTTTTCTCCTACATTTCTCCGACTTATGCTGAGTCAATTGATTTCACAGCAGATTTTATCACTCTAGACTGGGGCAGAATTTCTCTTGTGTATTTAAACTTCAAGAAACTATTGCATGAGATTTTCTAACTGTGGAACATAGGTGGGCTTCAGTAGGAGATCACCATTTCATTCAAATTTCTCTCTGATATAAGGCAAAAAGAATAGTAATATCGAAGAACCATATAATTTTATTGGATATTATAAGTCACAAGGAGTGGATGCATCTGCGCCAGCCATTGACAACGATTTTCAGCCATTGCACCAATTGTTTCCAGCCTCCATTGGTTTTTACACCCCCGTCGATGACTCCAACCAGGAAGTCTACACCTTCCTACGTGGCCAGCTTTAAACTAACTGTTGTGGATTTCATTGACTGATGAAGCCATGTTGGTTTTGTTTTGACCATCACTGGCTGTTTTTCAACCTGATCCTATATCAGCTGACATTGCCGTTGTCGAGGAAGACGATGGCTAGGCAGGCATGCGTAACACATATCCTAACCATCTCAATCGATGTAACTTCACAGCCTCATCGATTGATTTCCCCTCCTTACTTAACACTCGACGCCTAACCTTAATATTTCTCACCCTATTATACCACTTCACACGGGAGATAGAACGTAGGCACCTATGATCAAAGAGAGCTAACCGACCTTTTCATGTCTTCCACCCTCAATGGTCAGGTCTCACAGACATAAAGGAGGACGGAGAGGACTGATGAGCAGTACACACGCACTTTGGTCGACAGCCAGCTGGATATCACGTCTACGCCAGAGACGGCGTAAACTGGCACATGCGAAACTAGCCCTCTGTATTCGTGCTGAGATTTCGTCAGAGGTCAACTTTTGGTTAGATAACAGAACGAAGAAAATCCCTCGAATAACTGATAACCGATTCGCTTAGTAACCCCATAGAGGGTTTCATACACAATTGGCTACATACAATGTACAACCAGTCACACGTATGTGTGCGATAAGTATCATATTGAGCAGGGTTTGGACCCGTTTATTCCTGAAATCTGGAAAATTATGTTATTTAACAATGAATTCAGGGGGTTTAACATGAGTACAGTGCTTAAAACGTAGCTTAGTTGAGGATAATGAAGTGTTTTTTTAATTGGACACTAGTCAGTAACTATTGTTATGTGTTTAGTCATTTGTTTGGTGCAGACTGAATTCTATTAGTCAAGTTTGCCACGATGTTGCTGAGTCGCACACCATCACAGTGTACTTTGAATTGTTGATATTAGATGGTTGGAGGCAATCGGCCACAAGAAGCCCTGCTTCACTGAGGTTTCGTGGTTGTTGGCACTCGCCAGTCAGCAAGGCATATCTGCGTAGTGATCAATCAAAGTATCTATCTAATACAGTCCTACAGGAAGGGAATTGCGAGCTCAGTGGTAACGTCTCTGACTGCACCACTGGGTGACGCGGGTTCGAATCTCAGAAGGGACATGAGTTCCTTCAAGGTTGCAGATACGCCTTGCTGACTAGCGAGTGCCAACAAGCACGAAACGCAGGTCAAGCAAGGCTTCCCGTGGCCGATTGCCTCCAACCAATTAATAATAATAATAAGCCTTATCTTTTGTTCACTCTCACCACATATCGTTCAGAAAGAGTTGACATTGTAGTCTGTAACTGACACCACTATTTTAATGGTGGTTTCCGGAAATTTAGTGAACACATCTGAAGACTTATATTTTGAGATGAAGTGCTTTCTTAAATTTTTTTCAAGTAAAAATTGAATTAAAACCAGCAAATTTGAAACTTTAAAACAATAAATGACAGGAAATATTTAACAGAAGTTTACATATATTTATAATAATAATACCAAGGAATTAGCAAGGTGAGATGTAGAAACAATAAGTTAATAAGTAGACTTCTCGCTCTATTTATAAAATACTTAAGTGCGATGTATTCAAATATTACTTTTAAGTATGGCGTCTTCCTTAAGTTCCGCCTACACAATTTATTCAAATAATAGAAAATGGATAAAGTTAAACTCTAGCAGCTACCACCGCGTACGTTCTAAATGACGCTGTACAAACAATCATTAGAGATGCGACATTAGGACTGATAAATTTTCAAAAGAATGGATACTGAACAAGGAATCGTGGCAACTCGAACTGCTGCACTTCGGTGCCAAATTCTATGTTGAACCCAGACAGACAGACAGAACAAAGAATATTCTTTTCGATAACTTCATCATTATCATACACTATAGTGAATGAATGAATTAGTGTTATGAACAACATTAATGCCGTTGTTTAAATAACATCGAACCAATAATATTGATAGATTACAGCTCAATAGCATCAACATAAAATAAGCGGAATGTCAGTAAAATTAGAAAAGATCATATTACAAATTCATGAATTTATAGTCTCTACTGAAGGCTGGCCACGGTAGTAGTAGTAGTAGTAGGGGCTGGTTGGACTTGCTTCTTTTGAACACAGAGCACACTGGTTGTTTGAGGCGAATTGCAATAGCCTCTGCTGTTTGGAGCATGCGCTGCTTTGATAATGATTTTGGTAATTTGTTAGGCACCCGGTAGATCATAGAGAAGGATTCTTCCACGCTGGCTGGCTTTGTGGTCGGCCGGTTTGCACCAGATGGTCCAATATCGAACTGTTAATGGTTTTAACTACACCTTTACTTAGCCATACTGGGAGATGTTCTCGAGTGAGCACGAAAAATCAAGTTCCTAGAGCAACGGCCCATATAACTCGCTCCACCATAAGCGCAGTTGAATTGGTAGATACAATTTGAAGTGGCTAGTCTAGGTACTTAATCTTCCATAAATTTGTTAATGAACTGCATTTCCACATAGAGACATGCTTATTTCTCCTAAAGTACAGTAATATTTTTAAAGTTAAGCCTAATAGATAATCCAAGTCATAGACAAAACTAGGAAACCAGATCATGTGCTACCTATGAACCCGATACATGGGTATGGCATTCATGACGAATGCTGTGATTGGTTGCTTGAAGGTGATTTTAAAAGTTCTCCGGTCAAGTTATTGGTGATAATAGCTGATATAGTTTAACTCCTCCAGAAAAAGAAAAAAACTATGAGCAAGACACCAAACACAGAGTAATACGTTATACTTCATCTTTTTTTTCGTTTATAGGCGTTTTCAAGTGGTGATTTTCAGGGAATTCATTGATTTCAAGTTCTATCATGAACTTGGGAGTTTATCCATTTTACATGCTTGGACAGGAATAATTCAGATTTATAACTGATAATGCCAGCGCATAATAATAATCACATGTCTATCCTCTTTAAAACGATGAATATATGTATTTTGGGGGGGGAATTCAACAAAATATGGAACTTATTGAAAATTTGTAGGTCTTGAAGGCAAAAAATTCCTGCAATTTTTCATAGCATTAACTTCCAGTGTGTTTGTGGTGAAAAACTGATATTCTGATTTATAATCAATCCCCCTGATACTCATTTATCACACTATCAACAAAGCATAATAAACATCAATGCCAAAAAAGGTTGACTGATTACAAATGCCAACAACAAATCAATTTGACTGATTAAACGAATAACAAGAGATTAACAATCTGAAATCTCTAAATACAACGCGGTTGCACAAATATTGCTTACTGACTGACTGGTTTCAACATAAAACTTTACACCAATGTGCAGTAGTTCAAGTCGCCACACTCCATGTAGCACACAAAGCAAGAGAAATGAAAAATAGAGACAGTAGACAGGGATATGACACAAAAGGAATAGTAATAGCGAAGAACAATAT